GACCTCACAGGCCTGCAGGACTCGCTGCTCCCTCGGACATTCCTAGACCTCCGGGGCCTCTCGGGCCACTTAGTCATAACAACTAAGTTCAGGGCACTGTAAACCCAGGGAGGGGGACACAGCGGAGATGTCTCCACTCCCCCTCAGAGGGGGAGACAGACAGACAGACAGTCAAGCCCCAGGCCAGAGGTCAGCTGCAGGCCACTGCTGCCTGGCTGCAGGACCAGGACCAGAGAAGGAATTTAATCTACAGCTAAAAAGTGAACAGTCTGAGACCTGGTGACACGTCACCTGGTATGAAGGGGGGGAGGGGGGAGGGGGGGGAGACAGAGCCGTCTGACCGGATTTGAAGAGACCGTGAGGCGAGTGTAAACACAGACTCCACCTCCTCACCCTACAGTCTGACTGACGGGTTTAGTGACTGACACGACGACAGCCGACTGTTGTCGTTTTTTTAATCATGTGACTCTGACTTTCATCCAATGATATTCAGTGTTGGTGAAAAGAAGAAAAAGAAGTGGAATGAAACACTTAAGGAGCCGTGTGTGTGCAGTGGAGCACCACTGTGTTTGGAGCTGCTGGTCCTGTTCCAGCCTGGTAATCTGACCTCCAGCTGGTGCTGGTGTGTGTGTGTGTGTGTGTGTGTGTCGGGTCAGTACTGATTAATCAAAGGAACACTGGCATATGGGCAAAACGCTGTCGGCCACTGCTGTCCCACTGCGCCCTCTCACTGCTGTAAAATGTTTCCTACGACCAGCGTCTGCTCCGTCCTCGTTCCTCCGAGGTCTCTCCAAACATCTGCACCACGCCTGACGTGAGGCCTCGCACCAACACCACAGCACCAACACCACAGCAGCTTCACACCGAGCTGTGAAGGCGCCATCTGAAACACCAGTTCTAACGTTGGCTACTGCTGCCTTGATATCAGAAGTGTTTGGACAATATCAGCATATCAGACATCAGACATCCCTGGTTCTGTATTCAGAAACAGAAAGAGTTCGAATCCCTAATTCTGACCGACGTCACACAGTGTAAAAACTATCAATTCTGAGGAAACTTATGGCGGAAAAACGGGAAAACAAACCCTGGTCTGGTCTTGTCCTAACCAGACCAGGTGCTCGATGTGGCCCAAACCTCACCGGAGGTTAGTCACCGCGTCCAAACCAACCGAACCACATTCATAATCATCAGCCTGGTTCCTGCTAAAGGAGCTAAAAACAACTCTCAAACAGCGTCAGGTTAAAACGCACATCTGAGGCAGAATCACAGCAGCCCAGAAAATTGGGTTGCAGCTGTTTTGGGAATCGCACCTTAACAGAATTAAAGTTCCTGCGGCCTGTAGCTTTTAGCTACACCTGCTGCAGGAAACGATCGTCTCAACAGACGACACCAGGAGGAAGAGGAGGAGGAGGAGGAGGAGGAGAGTGAACTCCTCTTCAGCATAAACACCACTCTGATGTGGACCAACTTTAACTGACTCTGAAACTGTAGAGCACATGTTTTGACTGAAGTGCTGGTTTGACAAATGTGGTCAAATCTGCCCTGTAGAATTACAGCTGCAAGAGATTTAAACTCTCTCTCTCTCTCCCTCTCTCTCTCTCCCTCTCTCTCTTCTTGTTTGCCTCTTCATTCAGTGGAAACCAACCTTTAAAAAACAAGCTCCCTGAGCTGCCGTGTTTCATTTACTCAGACCACAGATGCCTGTCAGCTCAGATTTCTGACGTTCACTCATCATCGCTCCTGTTGCGATCTGCTGTGATTCTTTGGGTTTTTTTTTTTGTTAGCAGGTTACGACAGTGGTTTGTGGGAAGTGCAAACACAGAAACAGAAACAGAAAACGCTGCCGTGTTTATTCCACGTCTGCTCCTCAGTCAAACACTAACATGGACCGTATATAAGAACTGCACAGAGCTGCTGGGCCGTCACTGCAGGCTGCGGTTGCACATGAACATCATGTTGTCTCCGCGTCATTTAGTTTGTAAAAAAAAAATTACTGTACGTAAAATGAAGCCACGTATCCCATCATTTATAATAGAATTTTATGTAGATATGAAGATGTAAAGTGGGTTTACATACCCAACAAATGGGCTGCATGTCCGTACTGGGCCACTTAAATCCATTGATATATTTTGACTTAATACGATGTCCATTAATACTAGTAAAATATTGCATATTATATGTATTTACTAAATAATATAAAACATATTGAAAAATGTAATGCATATTATATGTATTTACTAAATAATAATACATATAAAACATATTGAAAAATGTAACATACATGAATAGATGGAACTGTTTTAATTTCTCTGGAGTTCCCTTTGGGAAATGTATTAATTATATATATAAAATATATAACTTGGTTTTTGGTCATTTTCCTAACAGACCAGACTGGTGTCTTAACACAGACACGTGAAGGTCATTGTTGGTTCATTCTTGTATTATTTCCAGTGAAGTTCAGTTCATTTCAGTCGGACGTTTTAATGTCGACGCTTCAACAACTTCAAAGTTCCATTTAAACTGAGTGTGTGCACCGAGGCCTGGCAGCCTCAGTGTCTGTCCGTATGTATATTCATTCTATGGCGCTGCTGCTATAATTGCTTCTCACACACACACACACACACACAGGCCCAGTGCACAGCCTGGAACCTGGAACAGAGTAAATCCAATTTCTGCTGGGAGCTCATGCAGGTTCATTAAAAACAGGCTTGTTAAATTAAAACCCCTGCTGTTCTGCTGCTGCGTGAAAAGGCCCACTGAGCCCCCTGTTAGTGGAGGCACACATTACAGTCACTGATGGGAGACCCCCCCCCCCCCACCTCTCCCCCCGTTCACCCATACAGGGTGAGGCTTCTGCATCTCACCCTCAAATCTCAGTGGGACGGGGCAGTTAAATAAGTTTGAAAGGGAAAGCAGAGGCAGCGGCAGAAGGCGGGGGTCCGTCCGACACGCAGGTGTGAGCCGGCTCTCCTGCTCTCCGCTCCTCACTGCAGATAAATCGGCTGCTCCCTCTGCTTTTACAGCCGTCACCGGAGCAGCTGATGTTTCAGCAGCAGCTTTACACAGGAAGCTGGGGGCTTTCACAGGGATCATCACAACACACACACACACACACTCATGTGTCCTACAGTCCAACCAGATCCTTATTCCAAACCTTAACCCAATGTTTACCCACTCTGTAAACCTAACTCTACTCAGACCAGACCAGATCACTGAACGAGAACCCGTTCCGTATCAGAACTAACACACGCTCACATCACTGAGGCTGATGCAACAAAAATATTCTCCGAGACACGGATTCGTAATTTCACGCGGCGGTCGCACAGTGGTAGAGTGGTTAGTACTCTTACCTTACGTCAAGGAGGTCAGAGGTTCGATTCCTGGTGGTAACTGATGGTCTTTCTGTACGTCTGACTCCAGGTTCCTCCTACGGTCCAAAGACATGCAGATTGGTTAATTGGGAACAAGGGATTAAACATGATCTTAGGTGTGAATGTAGGTGTGAACAGTCATTTGTCTCCATATATATTACATATACTGTATATATATATTAATATATATATATATGGCCCTGTGATGAACTGGAGAACCGTCCCGGCCCCTCACCCAGTGGCTGCTGGGATTGGATCGTGTTACTGCCGTGACCCTGAAGTGAGTTACGCTGTAAAAGATTTATGGATTTTATGCAGCTTCACTGCTGCAAATGCCAGTTGTTAAATATAACACAGGTCAGATATTGAGCCTTAGTGTGACATTTGTCTGCTGGTGTGTGTGTGTGTGTGTGTGTGCGTGTGGTCTGGATCTGCAGATCTGTTTCCTGCCTGACGACTGCTGATGCTGTGGATTTGACATTGTTTTTATTTCACGTCCTTTTCGCTCCACAGTCTGTTCTAAAGTCCAGTTCTATCTATTTATAAACAAACACAAACACTGTAGGACAAGGCTGCCCAAAATAGGGCCCACGGCCCCTACACGGCACTCAACTGTACGTACCTCTGTTTTCACCATCGACCGCTTCTGGTAAAAACGTCTCTACAGGATTTTTCTGAAATTGGAGAGAAAACTGATTCAACACAGATGTTTGATTTTTCTCAACAAACGTGACGTTCTAGGATGTTCTAGATGTTCTACGTCTGTGCTGTGCTGTGATAATGAAATGGTAGGTGGCAATTTCTTCAGTTTCTGGTGTCAGTGTGAACGTGGCACCTGGTTTGACTTTGGTTTTGGGAACTAGTACTGTTCTGGTTCTGACTGAACCTGAGGAGGAGCTCTGATCTGGACCTCACTGATGGTCAGGCTAACCCTCAACTCAAAAATGATGATTGGTCTCATAAGGACCGTAGCTCAGTCTCCATGACGACCAGTAGACCTGACCTGGAGTCAGTGGACAATCAAATGTGCTGAACAGAAAACAGAAACTGAGGAGACACTCCAAAAAGTTAGACAAACTTTGTTTCTCCTCCCCCTCTTTCTCTCCCTCTCTCCCTCCTATCTCTCTTTCTCTCTGTGGTTTGCTAATTGCCAGACAAATCGCCTTCGTGCTCCTGCACCTCCCTTCCTTCCCCCCTTCCTCCCCACCCTCCTCCTCCTCCTCCTGCTTGTTGCAGCCGCTTTGGCTGGAGAAATTTATTATTTTGGATCGCTTGAGGAGCTGAGGAGGTCACGGTGGAGGCGCGCAGGCTGCAGGAGGAGGTCGTCACTGGAGATATATACCCGCTCTCCCCCTTCACTCCTACATCGTGCGCGCGCCCGTTGACTGTGATCCATTTAAAAGTAGACGTATATTAAGTGGCAAAAAACTAGTGCCAAATAATGGCTGCACTAATGGCCACACACACAGTGTACAGTACAGAACAGTACAGAACAGTACGGTACGGTTCAGGTCAGAAAAGTGTTGTGTTGCTGCTCATCTGTTCACTGATGTAATGTGTAATCTAAATTAAATGCTTCTTTTTAATAATTAATATCTGATATAAAATATGATATAAAGCACTACAGCAGCACAGACAGTGTGTGAACATAAAATCACAACGTTGTAACAATTCACCAACAAATTATTATTATTTCTATTCTCATCATTTGTTTTGTTTTTTTGTTTTTGTTTTTACTTCCGCGTAAATGTCCGCTGCAGGACACCAACCTGGCAACCCAGGCGCTTCGTCTTAAAGGCCGCAGGAGGAAATCCTAATAATTCCGTTTCCGTAGTTGATGAATCATAAAAGGCCACGTGCCTGGTGTTTTCGGGAGTTTCCTCGTCACTGATGCTCCACGTGCCGTTTCATATCCGGTAGATGTGAGTGATAAATCCACTGCCGTGGCCCGTGTGACTAATGGCGGGGCATTAGGCCCGTGAAGGCGTATTGATGCCGGGGTATTAAACAAGCCCGTACCGCCCCTCCACCACCTCCTCCTCCTTATACTTTTACTTATCAATATCCCGGTGACAGAGGAGCACCTAGCGGCTCCATAATAACTTCCTGTTCCTGTCCTCTCTGTTAAAGGTGAGGAACCTTCCGCTGGTCACGTGTTTAAACTGGTGACGTAGGAATAAAAAAGGCTAAACACACGTAGAATAATGTAATTGATCATTTAACTGAGAAGGACAGGAATATTTTAATATTTATTTACGTCAATGAAGACGAAATAACACTTATTAATTAATAGTACTAATGATACATTTGGTGAAACTGCAATTTAGACATTTTACAGAGTACATCATAAACACGTATATTCGTATTCGTGTATTTCAAAACCATAAAACATCTTAATAAACTCATTTTTACTTCATTTGTGAATCTATGGAAGTTTTCTGCATAATGCTAAATATTTAATTTAGCAAATTTACAGAAATTTATGTGGCTTACTTTATGTTCTTTAATATTTAAATGTAATCTGCTCAGCTAACCGTTGGCTAACGGTTTTTAACGGTTGTTGCCATAACTTTGGCCTGTTTATATTTTAACGGTTGTTGCCATAACTTTGGCCTATTTATATTTATTTATTTATTTGCTCGTCCTTTACAATTCTTTTGGACGGAAGTTTTATCGTAAGACGTTTCATTCAGTGTTACCTTAAAGGTGAAACATTTCCTGTTTGACGTCAACGTTTTTCAGTCGTCAGAAAACAACAACAACAACATGCTATCTAGCTAGCATGCTATCTGCCACGAACGATTTACAGCCCGCGTTGAGGATATCACACACATATGATGTGATTCCACAGTTTACGGCAGCACTAACCTACTACCCCCCCTCCCCACTCCCCACCCCACCACACAAGTGCATCCATTAGCTTTTGGCTCGAGTGTGTGTGAGGAGCGGAGCGCGCGCATGCATGTGGCGGAGGGTGGTCCGTGTTGTTGGCAGTAAATCACGGGAGATCACTCAGTTCACAGTGCAAACGTAAAAATGTGAGAAGTCCTAGAGTGTAATTGATGTGTACTTTACGGCAGCAGCAGCAGCTTCTGTGTCAGTGTGTTACACAACAATAAAACACTTTATTTTTACGGCGTTCACTTCAGACATGACAGGATCAATGTGTCGACAACACGGACGAGTACAAAAATACACGGTGTATTTGAACGGTCCTGTTGAAATACACACCACCAGCACGTACTCGTAATATTAATAATATGAGAAACACATTAAAAAATAATAAAATAAATTAAATTACATTTAAAAATAAAATAAAGGTTGAGGAGCTGAAGACAGACAATACATTGAAATATCGAGGGGAAACTATTTACTATCTATTGATTTTTATTTGCTGCTGCTGCTGCTGTTGCTGCTGCTGCTGCTGCTGCTTCTGCCTTTAACAGATTTACGAGCGGCAGTAAAAGACGACACGTCGGTGTTCGGTAAATCCATCTCTGTCTCCGAGTCTGTCTCTGAGTCTGACTGTGTCTCTGCTCAGACACAACAACAACAACAACAATAATAAGTATTATAATAATAATAATAAACAGAAAAAATAACCTCCATCTGCACAGAAACACCTCTTCTTTTTCTCTTTCTCCTTTTTTTTCTTTTTAAATTCAAAGCCAGTTAATCATTAACGAGGAGGAAGAATTTACCTTGTCTTAATCCATCATGGACCCAACAGACCACCACCCCCCCCGCCGCCCCAACACACCCATTCCCCCCTTCTCTCCCCAACTAACTCCTTCCCAACCCCCCCGTGTCCCCCCACTCTCCTGAAGAACTCCAACATTTCTTCAGTAATTAGCCCACTGCTCCTCAGTGTCGTCCTGCTCAACATCACTGATCATTATTATTATTGAAATATTAATAATAAGATAATAACCGTCCAGCCTGGAGTGGGAGCCCAATTCTAAATGTCCAGTCTCTCTCTCTCACACACACACTTTCTACTGTGGAACAACTGAATCATAATAATCATAAAATAATAATAATTAAGATTATATTTATATTATTATTATGAGTGCGAGTCATTAGAAAATCGATTTTTTTCAACGTATTTCAGCTGGTGTTTTACCTTATGTACATTTTATCCATTAATAAAAACATATCTAGTTTTTTTTACATGTGAGAAAATTATTATTATTATCATTGTTTTTTATTTTATTTGTGTAGTTTTGCTTTTTTGTGGTCTTTTTGCTGTTATTGTTGTCACTTTCTAATCATAATTTCACTGTAATTTTGTTGGGTTTTTTTCTTTTACCATCAAGTTTGGCATTAAAGCTGCTAATTATGTAGCAACTGTTTCAACAACAACATTATTATTATTATTATTATTATCAATAGTAATAGTAACAGTAGTAGCGGTGATAGAAGTATTATTTTTATTATTAGTAGAAGTATTAATATTATTACTGTTCTTATTCTTGGCGTTGTTTATTGTTTTCCTAATCTGTATTTGCTGCTGCTGCTGCTGCTGCTGCTGCTGCTGCTGCTGATGCCACTGTGGGCTCCTTCCACGCAGCTCTGTCTCTGCTGCTTCTTTCTGTCTTATCTTCTGGCTGTTGTTTCACACTGTGATTGCCATAATTTATGGCCGTCATTACGCGCGCCATCATCACCGCCGCGAATGTTTGATTTCAATCTAGTTGTGAGTAAGAAAGAGGGGGGAAAAAAGAGAAAAGAAAGAAAGAATGTTAAAAAGATAGAAAGGAAACATCCCAGAGAATCTTTTGTGTGTTCCGTGAACGCAACTTCAAACCAGCGTCTTCGCAGAACTTTCGTTTATTTTCTTCACAGTCAAATATTTTTTAAGGCTGAGTTTTTCCCACCATAGTAAAAAAATATTTGATTTTATATACGTTTATTTTCTTCACAGTCAAATATTTTTTAAGGCTGAGTTTTTCCCCATAGTTTAAAATGATATAAAAAATATTTTATTTCATTTTATTTCATTTTATTTTTAATTTGCAGATTTTTTTTTTTAAATCTTGTCCTCCTTGAAGCCCGGTGTGTGTCTCCAGGCTGCGGCTCGGCCCATTGTTTGACCTTGGAGTGTCCCCGGAGCGGCTGTAGGTTACAGCTCCCTCACAGGCTGCCGTTCAACACTTTTATTATCACGTCTTCTCTCGGTGTCTCCAGCTCCATTGTTCGGCTCTGACTGGAACCTTCTATTGTTGTTGCTGCTCCGCGAGGCCTTGCGGCGGGGGGTTTTGTCTCTCCGGTGTTTCTGTCTCCTCACACACACTCTCTCACACACACACTCTCTCACTCCAGGGTTTGTTCTTTTCTTCTTTTCCTCTATCTGTGTCAGTCCGTCTTCAAATTCTTGAACCAGTTTTTTTTTTAATATTCTTGTCTGACAGGGAGTTCTGTTGGAAGATTCCTCGTGGTGCGTTCGCGGCCTTCACTGTCGGCTCTCTCTCTCTCTCTGTGTGTGTGTGTTTTTTTCTCCTGTGGATTAATTATAGGAGTTTGAAAAACAAATATAATCAGGAGCAGTTTTGTTGATTTTAGTTCATAACAGGAAGAGGGTGAGACAGGTCGGGGGGGGAGGGGGGGGGCGGGAAAAG